AACCATCCAAGCAGTGGCAGTGATGGTGGTGACCATGAGACCTTTAACAGTGTTTGCACTGCTCCTAAGGACATTGAATGTAGGTCAGCCACGGAGCCCTATCTCACCTGGAAGGAGCTGAACCAGAAGGTGCAGTGCAATGTTTCATTTGGGCTCATTTGCAAGAATGAAGAACAGTTTGGAAATGGAGTATTTGAACTCTGTTATGACTACAAGATCCGTGTCAATTGTTGCGTGCTATCTGATTCAGAGTGTCCCACTTCAACCATTGCCACAACAACTACGACCACGCCCACCACTACATCAACTACAACCAGCACTCCACCAACGGCCACATCTACTACTTCACCAAGGACCACACCCATCAGTCCATCAACGCCCCCGCCAACCACTCCACCAACACCCACACCCACAACTCCATCAACAACCACATCTACTTCACCACTGACCAAAACAAGCACTCCACCGACCACGCCTAGCACTCCACTAACTACAACCACCACTCCATCAACACCCACATCCAGCACTCCATCAACACCCATATCCAGCACTCCATCAACATCCACACCCACAACTCCAGCAACGACCACATCTACTTCACCAACCACGCCTAGCACACCACCAACTGAAACCATCACCCCACTAACTACAACCACCTCTCCACCAACACCCACAGCAACAACTCATAACACCACATCCAGCACTCCAGCAACCCGACCACGTCCAGCACTCCAGCAACGACCACCAACATCCAGCACTCCAGCAACGACCACATCTACTTCACCAACCACGCCCAGCACACCACCAACTGAAACCATCACCCCACTAACTACAACCACCTCTCCACCAACACCCACAGCAAACAAACTCCATCAACACCCACATCCAGCACTCCACGCAACGACCACATCCAGCACTTCCAGCAACGACCACATCTACTTCACCAACCACGCCTAGCACACCACCAACTGAAACCATCACCCCACTAACTACAACCACCTCTCCACCAACACCCACAGCAACAACTCCATCAACACCCACATCCAGCACTCCAGCAACGACCACATCCAGCACTCCAGCAACGGACCCACATTACTCATCACACAACGGGCCTGTGCCAGCACAACCACCAACTGAAAACCATCACCCCACTAACTACAACCACCTCTCCACCAATGACCACGCCCAAGACTCCATCAACGACCACATCCAACTACTTCACCAAAACCCACACCCACAACTCATCAACAGCCACACCCAGCACTCCAGCACCGACTACATCTACTACTTTCACCAAACGAACATGTTGATGAGACACACAATCCAGCACTCCACCACGACGACAACCCACCACCCCAACAACGACCACCCTACGACTCCACCAACACACAAATGAATCCAGCGCTCCATGTGTGGATGACTGCAAATGGACTGGCTGGTTGGGATTCTGGTAAACTCTACCCTAACAAGAACAGGTGATTTTGAATTGATTGGAAAAGTCTGCGCTGGCTGGGCAACTAAATATCGCCTGCAGAGCTGTGGGCATATCCTAATATTCCAATTGAACAGCTTGGACAAAAAAGTGGTATGTGACCCCTCTATTTGGACTGGTGGTGCAAAAATGAAGACCAGAAGCCAGGGCTCCCTTCCCGGTTCCCATGTGCCTCAACTATGAGATCAATGTCTATTGCTGTGAGTGTGGCACAACCACCCACATCTCAACTACCATATCAGAAACTTCAACCCCGACACACACCACAACAGGGACATCAACCCCACCATCTACCACCACAGAAACCTCAACCCCAACACCAACCATCATAGTGACCACAACGTCTACTGTCACAGAGACTACAACGACCAACATCTACAACAACCCCCAGACTCCAATCCAACCCAACCACAACAACCACAGAGACAGACCAACCCAACCTCCACTACCACAGTGATATCACTTTCAACACCCACCACCACACAGACACCAACACCCCCATCCAGCACTACACAGATCCCAACGCCAACGTCTCCCTCCACAGAGACCCCAACCCTAACGTCCACTACAACACAGACTCCATCACCAACCCCAACCACCACAACCACAGAGACACCAACGCCAACTCCCACTACCACAGTGATACCCACCTTCAACACCACACCACCACCACGCCCAGCACGCCACCACTACAACCACACCAAGACTCCCAAACGACCACGCCCAGCACTCCCACCAACTGAAACCATCACCCCCACTAACTACAACCACCTCTCCACCAACGACCACACCAACAACTCCATCAACGACCACACCAACAACTCCAGCAACGACCACATCTACTTCACCACCAACCACACTGAGCACTCCACTGACCAAGCCCAGCACACCACCAACTACAACCACCACTCCCACCACACCACACCACCACACCAGCTCCACAGCAACGCCACATCTATTTCACCAACCACGCCCAGCACACCACCCAACTGAAAACCATCACCCCACTAACTACAACCACCTCTCACCCAACACCCACAGCAACAACTCCATCAACACCCACATCCAGCACTCCCAGCAACGACCACATCCAGCACTTCCAGCAACGACCACATCTACTTTCACCAACCACGCCTAGCACACCACCAACTGAAACGCATCACCCCACTAACTACAACCACCTCTCCACCAACGACCACACCAACACTCCATCAACAACACCCAACATCCAGCACTCCAGCAACGACCACATCCAGCACTCCAGCAACGACCACACCAACAACTCCAGCAACGACCACATCTACTTCACCACCAACCACACTGAGCACTCCACTGACCACGCCCAGCACACCACCAACTACAACCACCACTCCACCAACACCCACACCCACCACTCCAGCAACGACCACATCCACAACTCCACCAACGACCACAACCAGCACTCCACCAACTGAAACCATTACCCCACTAACTACAACCACCACTCCATCAACACCCACATCCAGCACTCCAGCAACGACCACATCTATTTCACCAACCACGCCCAGCACACCACCAACTGAAACCATCACCCCACTAACTACAACCACCTCTCACCAACGACCACACCAAAACTCCATCACACCCACATCCAGCACTCCAGCAACGACCACATCCAGCACTCCAGCAACGACCACATCTACTTCACCACACGCAGCACCCACAACTAGCACACACCACCCCACTGAAACCATCACCCCACTACTACAACCACCTCTCACAACACCATCCAGCACTCCAGCAACGACCACATCCAGCACTCCAGCAACAACCACATCTACTTCACCAACCACGCCGAGCACAACCACTACTGAAACCATCACCCCACTAACTACAACCACCTCTCCCAACGACCCACGCCCAAGACTCCATCAACGACCCACATCCACTACTTCAACCCAACAACCACACCCACAACTCCATCAACAACCACACCCAGCACTCCAGCACCGACCACATCTACTACTTCACCAACGACCACATCCAGCACTCCACCAACGACAACCACCACCCCAACAACGACCACACCTATGACTCCACCAACAACCACATCCAGCGCTCCATGTGTGGATGACTGCAAATGGACTGGCTGGTGGGATTCTGGTAAACTCTACCCTAACAAGACAGGTGATTTTGAATTGATTGGAAAAGTCTGCGCTGGCTGGGCAACTAATATCGCCTGCAGAGCTGTGGCATATCCTAATATTCCAATTGAACAGCTTGGACAAAAAGTGGTATGTGACCCCTCTATTGGACTGGTGTGCAAAAATGAAGACCAGAAGCCAGGAGCTCCCTTCCCGGTTCCCATGTGCCTCAACTATGAGATCAATGTCTATTGCTGTGAGTGTGGCACAACCACCCACATCTCAACTACCATATCAGAAACTTCAACCCCGACACACACCACAACAGGGACATCAACCCCACCATCTACCACCACAGAAACCTCAACCCCAACACCAACCATCATAGTGACCACAACGTCTACTGTCACAGAGACTACAACACAACATCATCTACAACAACCAGACTCCAATCCCAACCCCAACCACAACAACCACAGAGACACCAACCCAACCTCCACTACACAGTGATATCACTTCAACACCCACCCACCACACAGACACCAACACCCCCATCCAGCACACACAGATCCCAACGCCACGTCTCCCACAGAGACCCCAACCCTAACGTCCACTACAACCCAAGACTCCATCACCAACCCCAACACCACAACCACAGAGACACCAACGCCACTCCACTACCACAGTGATACCACCTTCAACACCCACCACCACGCCCAGCACGCCACCAACTACAACCACACCCAAGCCTCCACCAACGACCACGCCCAGCACTCCACCAACAGAAACCATCACCCCACTAACTACAACCACCTCTCCACCAACGACCACACCAACAACTCCATCAACGACCACATCCAGCACTCCAGCAACGACCACATCCAGCACTCCAGCAACGACCACATCTACTTCACCAACCACGCCTAGCACACACCAACTGAAACCATCACCCCACTAACTACAACCACCTCTCCACCAACACCCACAGCAACAACTCCATCAACACCCACATCCAGCACTCCAGCAACGACCACATCCAGCACTCCAGCAACGACCACATCCAGCACTCCAGCAACGACCACATCTACTTCACCAACCACGCCTAGCACACCACCAACTGAAACCATCACCCCAATAACTACAACCACCTCTCCACCAACACCCACAGCAACAACTCCATCAACACCCACATCCAGCACTCCAGCAATGACCACATCTACTTCACCAACCACGCCTAGCACACCACCAACTGAAACCATCACCCCACTAACTACAACCACCTCTCCACCAACACCCACAGCAACAACTCCATCAACACCCACATCCAGCACTCCAGCAACGACCACATCCAGCACTCCAGCAACGACCACATCTACTTCACCAACCACGCCTAGCACACCACCAACTGAAACCATCACCCCACTAACTACAACCACCTCTCCACCAACACCCACAGCAACAACTCCATCAACACCCACATCCAGCACTCCAGCAATGACCACATCCAGCACTCCAGCAACGACCACATCTACTTCACCAACCACGCCTAGCACACCACCAACTGAAACCATCACCCCACTAACTACAACCACCTCTCCACCAATGACCACGCCCAAGACTCCATCAACGACCACATCCACTACTTCACCAACAACCACACCCACAACTCCATCAACAGCCACACCCAGCACTCCAGCACCGACCACATCTACTACTTCACCAACGACCACATCCAGCACTCCACCAACGACAACCACCACCCCAACAACGACCACACCTACGACTCCACCAACAACCACATCCAGCGCTCCATGTGTGGATGACTGCGAATGGACTGGCTGGTGGGATTCTGGTAAACTCTACCCTAACAAGACAGGTGATTTTGAATTGATTGGAAAAGTCTGCGCTGGCTGGGCAACTAATATCGCCTGCAGAGCTGTGGCATATCCTAATATTCCAATTGAACAGCTTGGACAAAAAGTGGTATGTGACCCCTCTATTGGACTGGTGTGCAAAAATGAAGACCAGAAGCCAGGAGCTCCCTTCCCGGTTCCCATGTGCCTCAACTATGAGATCAATGTCTATTGCTGTGAGTGTGGCACAACCACCCACATCTCAACTACCATATCAGAAACTTCAACCCCGACACACACCACAACAGGGACATCAACCCCACCATCTACCACCACAGAAACCTCAACCCCAACACCAACCATCATAGTGACCACAACGTCTACTGTCACAGAGACTACAACACCAACATCTACAACAACCCAGACTCCAATCCCAACCCCAACCACAACAACCACAGAGACACCAACCCCAACCTCCACTACCACAGTGATATCACTTTCAACACCCACCACCACACAGACACCAACACCCCCATCCAGCACTACACAGATCCCAACGCCAACGTCTCCCTCCACAGAGACCCCAACCCTAACGTCCACTACAACCCAGACTCCATCACCAACCCCAACCACCACAACCACAGAGACACCAACGCCAACTCCCACTACCACAGTGATACCACCTTCAACACCCACCACCACGCCCAGCACGCCACCAACTACAACCACACCCAAGACTCCACCAACGACCACGCCCAGCACTCCACCAACTGAAACCATCACCCCACTAACTACAACCACCTCTCCACCAACGACCACACCAACAACTCCATCAACGACCACATCCAGCACTCCAGCAACGACCACATCCAGCACTCCAGCAACGACCACATCTACTTCACCAACCACGCCTAGCACACCACCAACTGAAACCATCACCCCACTAACTACAACCACCTCTCCACCAACGACCACGCCCAGCACTCCAGCAACGACCACATCCAGCACTCCAGCAACGACCACATCTACTTCACCAACCACGCCTAGCACACCACCAACTGAAACCATCACCCCACTAACTACAACCACCTCTCCACCAACACCCACAGCAACAACTCCATCAACACCCACATCCAGCACTCCAGCAACGACCACATCTACTTCACCAACCACGCCTAGCACACCACCAACTGAAACCATCACCCCACTAACTACAACCACCTCTCCACCAACACCCACAGCAACAACTCCATCAACACCCACATCCAGCACTCCAGCAACGACCACATCCAGCACTCCAGCAACGACCACATCTACTTCACCAACCACGCCCAGCACACCACCAACTGAAACCATCACCCCACTAACTACAACCACCTCTCCACCAACGACCACACCAACAACTCCATCAACGACCACATCCAGCACTCCAGCAACGACCACATCCAGCACTCCAGCAACGACCACATCTACTTCACAACCACGCCTAGCACACCACCAACTGAAACCAATCACCCCACTAACTACAACCACCTCTCCACAACACCCACAGCAACAACTCCATCAACACCCACATCCAAGCACTCCAGCAACGACCACATCCAGCACTCCAGCAACGACCACATCTACTTCACCAACCACGCCCAGCACACCACCAACTGAAACCATCACCCCACTAACTACAACCACCTCTCCACCAACGACCACACCAACAACTCCATCAACACCCACATCCAGCACTCCAGCAACGACCACATCCAGCACTCCAGCAACGACCACATCTACTTCACCAACCACGCCCAGCACACCACCAACTGAAACCATCACCCCACTAACTACAACCACCTCTCCAGCAACGACCACACCAACAACTCCATCAACACCCACATCCAGCACTCCAGCAACGACCACATCCAGCACTCCAGCAACGACCACATCTACTTCACCAACCACGCCCAGCACACCACCAACTGAAACCATCACCCCACTAACTACAACCACCTCTCCACCAACACCCACAGCAACAACTCCATCAACACCCACATCCAGCACTCCAGCACGACCACATCCAGCACTCCAGCAACGACCACATCTACTTCACCAACCACGCCCAGCACACCACCAACTGAAACCATCACCCCACTAACTACAACCACCTCTCCACCAACGACCACACCAACAACTCCATCAACGACCACATCCAGCACTCCAGCAACGACCACATCCAGCACTCCAGCAACGACCACATCTACTTCACCAACCACGCCCAGCACACCACCAACTGAAACCATCACCCCACTAACTACAACCACCTCTCCACCAACGACCACACCAACAACTCCATCAACACCCACATCCAGCACTCCAGCAACGACCACATCCAGCACTCCAGCAACGACCACATCCAGCACTCCAGCAACGACCACATCTACTTCACCAACCACGCCTAGCACACCACCAACTGAAACCATCACCCCACTAACTACAACCACCTCTCCACCAACACCCACATATAGCACTCCAGCAACGACCACATCCAGCACTCCAGCAACGACCACATCCAGCACTCCAGCAACGACCACATCTACTTCACCAACCACGCCTAGCACACCACCAACTGAAACCATCACCCCACTAACTACAACCACCTCTCCACCAACACCCACAGCAACAACTCCATCAACACCACATCAGCACTCCAGCAACGACCACATCCAGCACTCCAGCAACGACCACATCTCTACTTCACCAACCACGCCTAGCACACCACCAACTGAAACCATCACCCCACTAACTACAACCACCTCTCCACCAACACCCACAGCAACAACTCCATCAACACCCACATCCAGCACTCCAGCAACGACCACATCCAGCACTCCAGCAACGACCACATCTACTTCACCAACCACGCCCAGCACACCACCAACTGAAACCATCACCCCACTAACTACAACCACCTCTCCACCAACGACCACACCAACAACTCCATCAACGACCACATCCAGCACTCCAGCAACGACCACATCCAGCACTCCAGCAACGACCACATCTACTTCACCAACCACGCCTAGCACACCACCAACTGAAACCATCACCCCACTAACTACAACCACCTCTCCACCAACGACCACACCAACAACTCCATCAACGACCACATCCAGCACTCCAGCAACGACCACATCCAGCACTCCAGCAACGACCACATCCAGCACTCCAGCAACGACCACATCTACTTCACCAACCACGCCTAGCACACCACCAACTGAAACCATCACCCCACTAACTACAACCACCTCTCCACCAACACCACAGCAACAACTCCATCAACACCCACATCCAGCACTCCAGCAACGACCACATCCAGCACTCCAGCAACGACCACATCTACTTCACCAACCACGCCTAGCACACCACCAACTGAAACCATCACCCCACTAACTACAACCACCTCTCCACCAACACCCACAGCAACAACTCCATCAACACCCACATCCAGCACTCCAGCAACGACCACATCCAGCACTCCAGCAACGACCACATCCAGCACTCCAGCAACGACCACATCTACTTCACCAACCACGCCTAGCACACCACCAACTGAAACCATCACCCCACTAACTACAACCACCTCTCCACCAACGACCACACCAACAACTCCATCAACACCCACATCCAGCACTCCAGCAACGACCACATCCAGCACTCCAGCAACGACCACATCTACTTCACCAACCACGCCCAGCACACCACCAACAGAAACCATCACCCCACTAACTACAACCACCTCTCCACCAACGACCACGCCCAGCACTCCATCAACTACAACCATCACTCCATCAACAACCACGCCCAAGACTCCATCAACGACCACATCCAGCACTCCAGCAACGACCACATCTGCTTCACCACCGACCACACAGACACCAACACCCCCATCCAGCACTACACAGATCCCAACGCCAATATCTACCTCCACAGAGACACCAACCCCAACATCTTCTGTCACTAGGACTACCATCACAGAGACCCCAACTCCAAAAACCTCCACTTCTCACACCCCAGCCCCAACATCCAGCACTACACAGACCACAACACCAACGTCTACCTCCACAGCATCTACAACTCCAACCTCTGCTGTGACTACTACCACCATCATCAGGACCCCAACTCAAACATCCACTACTACACAGACTCCAATCCAAACATCTACCACCACGGAGATTCCAACTCCATCACCCACCATCTCACAACCCCCAACCCCAACATCCAGCACTACACAGATTCCAACTCCAATTTCTACCACCACAGAGATTCCAACATCATCCACTTCTGTAACAACTACCACCATCACAGGGACCCCAACTCCAACACCCACCACTTCTCAGCCCTCAACCCCAACATCCAGCACTACACAGATTCCAACTCCAATTTCTACTACTAGTGAAACCCCAACCCCAACCTCTTCTGTCACTACTACCACCATCACAGGGACCCCAACTTCAACATCCTCTACTACAGAGACTGCAACACCTACTGCCACTGTGTCCTCAACTCCAACATCTACTGGCACAGAGTCCCCACCTCCAGCATCCACCACTACCCACACTCCAACCCCAGTCCCCACCACGTCAACCACAGTGACATCCCCTCCAACACCCACTGCCACAGAGACACCAGTTCCAACATCCACCATTATCACTACCACCACCACACAGACCTCACCCCAAACCCCAATCCCCACTACCACAAGCACAGAGACCTCCACTTCTATAGGCACAGTGCCCATTATAGCATCAACCTCTTCCCCCTCAGAGGGTACCACCCTTCTGAGCACCCCCCTGACCACCAGAGTGCCATCCAGTACAACACTGCCATTGGTCACCACTACAGGGGGCATCACGCCCTCTTCACCTCTGAGTTCTGAGGCCCCCACGCCAGCCACCACCACAGTCTCTCCAGGTAAGCAGACATATGTAGTTACTCCTGTCCTTCTCTTCTGCCAGGGAGATCCATGGCCCTAAGACCTGAACCTGGGGTGAGCACTTGTGCCTAGTGTCCCTGCTGTGCTCAGTATGGTTTGAGGTGGCTCAGTGGGCTTCCCCTGTCCTCTGAGCAGGAAGCCACTGACTTTTGGCTTGTGTGCAGGTAGCAGAGCAAAGATCCTGCCTGCCCTGCAGAAGGGTTTTGCTCAGGACACAGCTACGTTTGGCTCACACCCCTCAACACACCACGGTGATGGGGCTATGTGAACATGAGGCCAGGGCTCAGAGTGAGGCAGAGGTCCTTCACCTGTGTCTCCCTATGGTGGCCGTCAGGGCCCCTCTGGGCATGGCACGGGAGGTCTCAGAGGGTAGCTAGTCTAGAACTCTCAGAAAGACTACTGTCCAGTGGGAAACCCCCCTCCAGCCACCAATCATGGGTAGTAGACCTGGCCAACAAGCATTTGGGCTGCCCAGAGCCCTGGCTTCACCCTGAGGGTCTCCTGAGGCAACTCTGAGAGCCTGTGGAATGGACCCAAGACCTTGCTGCATCACGTGTTGCCTCTTGAGTCAGTAGTCTCCTCCCTCTGTGGCAGGATCTGCAGGTTGGGCCCCTGCCACATCTGAGATGACTGATGCCACTAGCCCTCACTTGTGACCTCTGTTCTTGCAGGCACACCCACCTCCTTGAAGACCATCCCCACCAGTGGAACCACAATTGGACTTTCTTCATCCACTACAAGACCAATCTCCACATCTACCTCCACTCCCCCCACTGTGCCAACGTCCACCATGGGAACCCCCACCCAGACAGGACTCCCCTCGGCCACACCGACTACATTGAAGACCAGCATCTCATCCTTAGTGTCCACAACTCCACTCTCCACTCCCGAAACCATGGGCAACACAGCCACCCTGGTCACCTGCTGTGTTTTGGAAGACATCTACTATGGCCCAGGTACCCGTGGTGTTCATTGCCTAATGCTTAGTATCTAGGGCTGCTTTTACCAGCGGATTAGGAACCTGGGCAAGTTCCAATCCGGGAGCTTGCTTAAGAGGCTGGAGGGAGGCCATGGGTGGAAACCTCTATGTCTAGCCCACTTCACTGGAAATGTGCATCAGAAGCCAGGGATCTGCCAAGGTCATGAGGATGTGAGGGTGGTGGAGACACCCAAATACCCCAAGTAAGTCATGGTGGTTGTTAGTTCATTTTCTGTTGCTTTAACAAAATCCTTGAGACCAGGTAATTTATAAAGAATAGAGGGCTATTTAGCTCATGATTCAGGTGGCTGTGGAGTCTGAGAACACAGAGCCAGTGTCTAGTAAGGACCTGGTGTAGCATCACAACGTGGGAGAGGGTCTCATGTAGGGAGACAGGGAAAGCTGCTAGCTTGGGTCTTCCTTTTCTCATAAAGCCACTAATGCCATCATGGTGGCTTCACCCTGATGACCTCTTTCAACACCAATCATCTCCCAAAGGCCTCACCTCCTCATCATTAAACATAGAGGGGTATTAATGCACAGCATGGGTTCCCTCTTATCTCCTCCATGGGGACCTGCTCTAGTGACCAACACTGCCGCTAGGTGGCATAAGGACCAGGTCTTTGTCTCTCCTTGCAGGTGAGTTGGTGTACAATGGTACCCATGGGGACACCTGCTATTATGTGAACTGCTCAACTGACTGCAAACTTCAGATGTTCAACTGGTCCTGCCCATCCACACCATCCTCAACTCTCAGGCCCTCCACACCGACATCCTTCCCCACGACTGCACCCTCCACGCCAACGACCACAACCTCCAAGCCAACGACCACAACCTCCAAGCCAACGTCCAGCACACCAACTACCATCAATCCCCCAGAGTGCCCAGACTTTGATCCTCCGAGACAGGTCAGTGGGTTGTGGTGGTACCAAGCCAGGCACCAAGTGGGTCCATGTCCAGATGTCCAAGGCCTGAGGTGCTGCCTTCTTAACCAAGAATGCGACCCATGGCCCTACTCTACCCCATCTTCAGTGAGGAGGCTCAGACTTCCTGCAGCTTCCTGGGCATAGTGTGTACTGGGGGCCTCTACCTTCTCACCATGCCCTGCCTTGCTGTGGCCAGGTGCTGGCTGCTGTGAGGCCCACGTAGCCACCCTCGGCCTCCAGTTGAGAGCATGGTCCACCCCTCCTGCTACCCCATGCAGTGGTCCCAGTTGACTGTCCTGTGCCCTCCATACTACAGGAGAACGAGACCTGGTGGCTGTGTGGCTGCTACATGGCTACATGCAAGTATAACAACACAGTGGTGATTGAGAAGGTGAAGTGTGAGCCTCCGCCCAAGCCCGTCTGCTCCAATGGCCTCCCGCCAGTGCGTGTGGAAGATCCTGATCACTGCTGCTGGCACTGGGAATGTGACTGTAAGCTCTTGCAGTCACCTGGGGACCTTCCTCCTCTTTCCCTGCTCTTCCCTTTCCTGGGGACCACCATCTTCCCTGGGGTCCTTCCTTCCTCCTTTCCCCTGATCTTCCCTTCCCTGAGGACCCCACACCACACATCTTCCCTTTCCTGGGGTGGGGGCTGCAGGGCCAGGCCCCTAGGAGTAGAAGGCCCAAAGCTTCTTAGGCACACACCTGGTTGTTAAGCACCTGCCAAGGGGTAGGCACCCAGACACAGGGACTTGTTGCACACCATCTTGGGCAGGATCCCAGTTGGTGAGAGGCTTGCCTGGTGGGGAAGGGGCATCTCCATGGAATGAGGAGGTTTCCATGGTTAGGGATTCCCCCTGGCTCCAAAGCCAGCCCCAAACTGCAGAAGGGGCTGTCATGGGCTGAGTGGGGAGATGCTTCTGGGGGCTAGATGCATTTCAGCTCAGACACTGGGCACCCCAATCCAGGGACCAGGACTTTCTGCCCTCCTTGGTTCTTCCAGCCTGTCCCTTGAATCTAACCATGACCCTGTTACAGCCCCTACCCCTATCCCCACCCCCAGATTGGTGGCACCAGCTTACTTTGTTCCCTCCCAGGCTATTGCACGGGCTGGGGAGACCCTCACTACATGACCTTCGACGGGCTCTACTACAACTACCAGGGCAATTGCACCTACGTGCTGGTAGAGGAGATCAACCCCAAAGTGGACAACTTTGGGATCTACATTGACAACTACCACTGTGATGTTAATGACGAAGTGTCCTGTCCCCGCACGCTTATTGTGCGCCATGAGACTCAGGAAGTGCTGATCAAGACTGTACAGATGACACCTATAGAGGTGCAGGTATGTGGGTGTGGCCAGGCTGGGCTGCCCTTGGCAGGGCATGCTGGCATGGTCTTCTCAAGCAGAGGACTGGGCTCAGGGGCCTAGGCACCTCCTCCCTTGAACCAGGCTGGAAAAGTGGGAGAAGGCAGGACCTCACCTGAGGACACACCCAGCTCTTCCCATAGGTCCTACAGGTGCATTCCAGGGGCATAAACTTTGTGGCAGAAGCTCCCTCCCCAAGGGTGGGAAAATGAATGGGGTCTATGCATAACTGACTCTTCCCTACCCCTGGAGTCACTGGTCTCAATAGCCAAGAGTCTTGGGGAGACCTGCTCCCTACATGGGACCCCAAAGTTTCTGAGGCTCCCAGGAAAGGAGGTGAGGAATAGGCGGAACCCCTCACCCTGCAGGTTGCAGTAGGGTGACCTCAGATGCTATCCCGAGGTGCAATTTGGCCTGCCCAATCTGACACACATGGGTCCCAGAGAGAACCAAGGTGGGACAGGGCAGGGCAGGCCTCCAGCAGGTGGCTACCATCAGCTCCTGCCCCAGAGGCCTTTCCTGACCCAGGTGTGTCAACTGCAGGTGCAGGTCAATAAGCAGGTGGTGGCATTGCCCTACCAGAAGTATGGGCTGCAGGTGTATGAATCAGGCATCAACTTCGTGGTGGAGATCCCCGAGCTGGGTGCCCTCATCTCCTACAATGGCCTGTCCTTCTCCATCAAGCTGCCCTACCACCTGTTTGGCAACAACACCAAGGGCCAGTGCGGTGAGCTCTGGAGTCCCCCAGACCCCATGCGAGGCTGGGTACAAGCCAGCTATGGGTTTCCTGCTCCTCTGCTGCATTCACTTTGGCACTGTTCCAGATTTGGCCCTAGCAGGAGTTGACTGCCCTCAGGCCTGGCCAGAAGGACACAGGGGCCCAGGCTGGAGAAGGGGGGTGTCCGGGTGTCACCCTGATTTGGGTGGCCAGAGTTTGGTGCTGACATGACATGGCTTTTCTTCCCATGCAGGCACCTGTACCAATAGCACTGAGGATGACTGCGTTCTGCCCAGTGGGGAGGTCATCTCCAATTGTGAGGTTGCAGCTGACTATTGGGTGGTGAATGACCCCTCTAAGCCACACTGTCCTCATACTGACTCCACAACCAAGCATCCGGCTGTCACAAAACCAGGGCCTGGCCAACCGACCCAGCCCAAGAACTGCACGGGGTCTCCTATCTGCCAGCTTATCATGGACAGGTGATTTGCCTATAGCCTGTATGTGACCTTGGTACTGGGCTGCTGCAAGATCTCGAGAAGCAACCTTGCCTCTCTGCTGTCCAGTTATTTACAAAGAGGAGGCGAGGTGCAGCCAGAGTGCGAGGCTGGAAAAGCAGAGGTTGTGGCACTGAGGGCAGGTACCAGGTCATGGGGGGGAGGGCCAGGACCTGGCTTCCAGTTTCTTTAGGACTGAGTTGCCTTCTCTAACATTCCTGTGGCCTTCTGACCTCCCAAACCTCTCACACCTCTTGCCATGGTGCAGGCTCAGTTGACTGGAGGCCCTTGGTAGACCAGTTGACAAGACAGAGCTAGCATTCAGGGCTAATTAATATCAGGGAGGCAAGTTTGGCCTCCCTAAAGTTGGCAGCCATGGGAAGGGCATGCCTTGCCCCTAGAGGTGTTCCACTTGAGTGGAGGCTGGGTGGATCTCTGCCAGAGCTGCTGGAGGGTGTGTCCTGGCACCTGGTGAGCACTCAGGTATGCAGCTTCCATCTCTGGGTGCCTGGTTGCACAGTGCCGTGCCATGCCCTTTGGGACACAGTACCTGCCTTTCTTTCCCAGGGTTTGGTCCTTTCCCTATGCTCATGTTGCCAGCCATAGACACCTCTCTGGTGGGTGCAGGCTGAGTAGACTCCAGGAAGACAGCCTGGGTGGAGGTGTGAGGTGGTGGGAAAAGTGGGAGAGGCAGGTGCAACACATCTGGGCCCAGGGGTGCCAGCCAGAGCATAACCCATACCCTTCCCTGCACACAGCTTGTTCTCCCCGTGCCATGACGTGGTGCCCCCCCTGCACTACTACGAAGCCTGCCTGTTTGACAGTTGCTTTGTGCCTAATGTTGGTCTGGAGTGTGCCAGCGTGCAGATCTATGCAGCCCTCTGTGCCCAGGAGGGCGTCTGCTTAGACTGGCGGGACCGCACCAACGGGGTCTGCCGTAAGTGCCTGTTTGTCCTTGCCTCTGTCCCTGTACTAGGGTCTGCAGGCCAGACAAGGGTCTCTAGGCTCTGCTGGGTGCTGGGCCCAGTCTGGAGTTAGATTCAGGTGGGTTGGGGTCTCAGAGTGGGAAAGGACAGCCTGGAGGGCTGGGGAGCACTGGGAATTCTGTCAGCCTTGCAAAGCACAACTGTGCACCACCCCCAGCTGGGGACAACCATGGGGAATGGGGCAGAGGCTGTAGTACTAGCAGCTGGCCACCCTCTGTAGGGGCGAGGTGAAGTCCTGAGTGGGAAGGGCTAGGTAGCTCTGTCGTTCAAGGAAGGGATGGACTTCCTCCTCTGGACATGGCTCTTCAGTTCTTCCTCCCTCCCATAGCTATGAAGTGCCCATCTCACAAGGAGTACCGAGCCTGTGGTCCCACAGAAGAGCCCACCTGCAAGTCCAGGTATGTTTCTTGAGAATTCACCAGGAGGACATCTGGTGTGTCAGCTCCCTAGCCCTGCCTACTCACCCCTCCTTTGTTTCTGAGGATATCTCTGCCCTCCAGCTCTTCCCAGGAGAACTCCACGAAACTGGTAGAAGGCTGCTTCTGTCCTGAGGGCACCATGAGCTACGCCCCTGGTTTTGATGTCTGTGTGAAGACATGCGGTATGCCACCCCCTCAAGTTGTCTTCCTCCTGCCTCCATGTCCACAGAAGCTGGACCATGAGGCTGACCGCAGCTTCCTGGAGTACCAAGACTGTGCTAACAGGATTTATTTTCTCCTTCTTTCTAGGCTGTGTGGGACCTGACAATGTTCCCAGAAAGGTAGGCTCTCCTCCTTGTGCTGGGCAGGGGGAGGATTCTCCCACAAATCCTGAAATTTGGGGTGTGGGGTAGAGTAAAGTGCACATAAGAACCTGGAAAACTTGAAGACTGAGTAACGAGTCACTTAAAAAAGGGTGAGCCAGCAGGGACTTCCGTCCACTCACCTACCTGTCCATTGGTGTGTTCAACCCCATTCATCTATCACCCCTCCGTCTAGCCTCCCTCCCTCCCTCCTCTCTCTGTTATTTACCCATCTATCATCCATCCATCCATCCACCTATTTACCTAGCCCTCTCTTCAACCATCCGTCTGTCTCTCCATGAATCCACCCATCCACTAGTAGTCACATGGTGCTCTGTCCGAACCCGAGGTGACACTTTGACCACTTGAGTGCTGTCTCTGGTGTGTGGTCACAGCCATGGTTGACTCCTTAGCTCAATTCTGCACAAACCCAATCGATCTGTGAGGTGTGTTTGCCCATGCTGGCCGATGCTGGTGATCTTGTCACAGCAGCGTGACATCGATGGCCTGGTGCCCTGAAGGAGTAGCTGCCGTCCTGCCCCAGGGGCTTGGAGGCAGGGAGAGACATGGCTTTCCCACAGGACCCCAGTGAAGTGCTTTTCTCCCTGACTGACCACACTGACCACACATGTGCCATGGTGCAGCCTGGTCTGGTGCCCGCTTCTTCCTGATCACCCCTTTCCTCCCTGCAGTTTGGGGAGCGTTTTACATTTGACTGCAAGGACTGCATTTGCCTGGAAGGAGGAAGCGGCATCAACTGCCAGCCCAGGAAGTGTAGTGAGGGGGCCCCCACCGACTGCACGGACGATGGCACCTACCTTGTCACGGAGGTCAACCCTGCTGACACCTGCTGCAATGTCACCTTGTGCAGTAAGACCACCCCTGGGCCCCCACTGTCACTAAGCCTCCCATAAGGCTGTCCCTCCCTTGGTGAGCTCGGGATGTGACCGCCTAAGAGGGTGTTGGCCCAGGCTGCTGGGTCAAGCCAGACACCTTTGCTGCAGAGGCCAGCCTGGGCAGGGCAGGAGTGGACCCACAGAAGCTTGGGTTGGAGCCGTGCAGTGGGAGGTGGATTCTGTAGGGAGCCATCCTAATCATACACCTGCCCCACCCTCAGAGTGTAACACCAGCCTGTGCAAAGAGGAGCCCCCCTCATGCCCGCTGGGATTCGAACTGAAGAGTAGGGTCGTGCCTGGAAGGTGCTGCCCAGTCTACTCGTGTGGTGAGTAAGGCCTGGCAGGGAAGGATGGGGAGGGACCGGGCTGTGGCAGGAGGGACAGGTGGAGGAAACCAGCTTGCACCCACTCAGCCCAGAACACCTGCCCTGTTCATGGGTGTGTGTTCTGACCCATGGGGCCAGACCACAGAGGAGAGCCTCTGATGACCTTTCTTGCTCTTTCTCCCAAGTGTCCAAGGGTGTGTGTGTGCACCAGAACGCTGAGTACCAGGTGAGCCCGGGGTTGGGGAGCAAAGATGGAGGAGGGGAGAAGGGACAGTGTGGTCCTATTCCCCTAAGGACAGAGGTGGGGTTCCATGTGGGGGACTGGGCAGGCCTTGAGGCTGGCCGGTGCGCCCTCCTCATGCCTGCCTGTGCCCAAAGCCTGGCTCTCCAGTGTACTCCTCCAAGTGTGAGAACTGCGTGTGCACCAACACTGTGGACAGCAGCACTCAGCTCAATGTCATCACCTGTACCCACGTGCCCTGCAACAGCTCCTGCAGTCCAGTAAGCCACGGCACCTTCCATTCCTCTCCCTGCCTCTGCCTACCCTCCTCCCATCTTCCAGAGAAGCTGCTTCCATGGAACTTTGTTCTCACAGCTTCTTTCCTCTTTTCCTTGCCAACCTGTGCCTGTCTCCACCTTGGCACCTGCCCATCTGCGGCCTCCCCCAAGTGTGGGGAGGGATTTCAGTAGCCGCAGGGGCCTGTGGGATGTGGAGAATAGGCCCCCAAGCTCAGCCTTGTCTGTATCTGTGCCCTCAGGGCTATGAACTCATGGAGGCCCCAGGGGAGTGCTGCAAGAAGTGCCAGCAGACCCAGTGCGTCATCGAGAGGCCCAACAACCAGCTTATCATCTTGAAGGTGTGCACTGGTAGCACCCAGGGCAGTGCCCAGGGCCCCGGGGTGCAGACTTCACAGGGCCTGCTGGCTTCCGAGGGCAAGACTGGGAGGACTCTCCATTCCCTGGCTGAGTCCTGGGTGCAGTTGGGTATGAGCGTCCTGAAGTTGCCCAGGCAAACGACCACAACTGAGTGACTTAAAACAACAGGAAGTGATTCTTCCATCCTGGAACCCCAAGTTTAAGATGGAGGTCTGGGGAGGGTCCTTTCTGCCTCTTCCAGCTCCTGGGGGCTCCTGGTATCATTGGCTTGTATCCAAACCACTCCTGTCTCTGCCTTCATGTGGCTTCTCGTCTGTGTCTCTTCTAAAGAGACTCGTGTCGCCTGGGTTAGGCCCATTCTAATTCAGGGTGTTCTCATCTCAAGAGCCTTCACTTAGTTACTTCTTCAAAGGCCTTTTTTCCCCCCAAATAAGGTCACTTCATATGTAGGGGGGGGTTGGAAAGTGGGTCTACCTTTTGGATTATGTGACCACAGGTAGGTTCTTTTCCCTGAGGACCTTCCCCCCACTGCCCTGGTGTTGGGGGGACCCACAGGTCAGCCTCCTGTTTAAAAAGCCACACCTGGCCTGTCTTTCTGGGCTGGCCTCTGATGTGGGCATGCCTGTTTGCCTTCACCCTGACTCTCCTCTGCCCACAGCCCGGGGAAACAGAGAAAAACGTCGATGACAAGTGTACCTTCTTCACCTGTACGAAAATCAACAACCAGCTTACCTCCTTCGTCTCCAAAATCATGTGCCCTGACTTTGACCCCAGTAGGTGCATCAAGGTGAGTGGGCCATCTGGGTTGCTGGTTGTGTGTGCTGTGCCAGCAGTGAGGGGATGCTGACACTCCAAGGGCTGGTCCCCAGTCTGGCACAGTGGCCTCTGGCTTATCTGTAGCTGCCCCCAGGAGTTTTGGTCCCAGGGCCTTCCTGTACCCATTGAGGTGCCCTGGTGGTCCAGGCTCACTCTCTTTTCCCTCCAGGAGTCCATCACATTCATGCCCAATGGATGCTGTAAGACATGTGAGTACAGTCTGACAGAAGGGTGGGCTCCACCTGGGTCCCTCTAGGGCAGGAAGGCACAAGGGGAGGGTGCCCCAGGAGCCTCATGCCTCTTGTGCCTCCCATGCTTATTTGGATGCCTGGGAACCCAGTCGCTTCCCAGGAGGAGGCAGGATGGAGCCCAGCTGGATGCTGGGAGCTCATCTCATTACAGGGCAGTAGGACTGAGGGTTGAGGGCTGGCCACGCTTGAGGTGGGGAGAGGGAGCATTGAGGGAGGGCGGTATGAGACCCCTCCCCTGTGCCTTGTTCCCCAGGCATCCCTTACAATGAGACCAGGACCCCCTGCTCCATCATCCCAGTCACGAAGGAAATTTCACTGGATGGCTGCACCAAGAATGTCAGCATGAACTATTGCTCCGGTTCCTGTGGGACTTTTGCCATGTGAGTTTCTGGCTGCCAGTGTGCCCTTGTTGGGGGTGGTAGAGGAGCCTGAAGAGAGGACCCAAGGAGGGCCAAGGCTGGCACTGCCCCCCCCCACCACAGGAGGTGGTCCCTCACCCTGCCCTTCCTTGCCTCAGGTACTCTACCCTGGAGAAGTCACTGGACCACAGATGCTCTTGCTGCAAAGAGGAGAGGACCAGCGAGCGTGAGGTGGTCCTGGATTGCCCCGACGGCAGCTCACTAACCCACACCTACACGCACATTGAGAGCTGCCTGTGCCAGGACACCGCCTGCGTGCTCCCACAGGCTCAGCAAAGCCGAGTCCGGCGCTCCAGCCTCCGGCTTCTGGGAAGGAAGTGAGCAGGGCTGGTTCTGCTGTGAAGGCATCGCCCTGCGTTGTCCCACTGAGCCTCTGAGCCTCCTAAGCTTGGCTTCCTCTCTGCAGATATTTATTTCCTGAATCTTTGTTCTGTCTTTTGCTTTCTGATAATAAACTCAAGCAGACACTGTGTTGGTGTGGTTTGAGTGGTGCTGCAGGGGTCTGAGCTGGCTCCTGTACGTCAGGAAGTGAGTGGGGTGGGATGGTTCTGAGAGGGCTCCTCCCTACTCTGGGGTCCAGTCACTGGCTCTATGCACAGGACACAGGGGAACTGGCCTTGGCAAGTACTGTATATAACATGTGACCCCCCCCCACCCCTCAGCAGTGCCTTCCTTGGGGTCCTGGCTCTATGCTTGGGCAAAGCCTGGCTGGGCGAGGCCCTCCGATCCAGAATCTGATAAAATCCCCAAGTTCCTTCAAGCCATTTCCAGGGCTTCTTCTGCTGGTGGGGACCTCGTGCTGGGGGAGCAGCGTGTGCATGTGTGGGTGTGCATGTGTGCTCATGCCATGTAGGAGTGCATGCATGTGCATGTGTGTGTGAGTGCATGTGTGTAAGTGTGTGTGGTCTCACCCTGGGTCTCTATGCTGGGAAAAATGGAGATGGTCCCAGTCCATGGATTTGGGGCAAACTGATAAAAAGCAACCATGACCTTGTGGGAAGCTGCCAGGAAGCTGCTGGGCAGAGCTGTCAAACCTTCAAATGACTTGCAGAAGTCCTGCTTGGCTCTGTGGACACGGTGGGGCAGTTGGTCATGTGTACGCATGTGTGAGTGCATTTGTGTGTATGAGAAAGAGAGAGAGAGAGAGAGAGAGAGAGAGAGAGAGAGAGAGAGAGAGAGACGCCCTGGGTGCAAGTGCCCATGTGTGTTTAGGAGCTGAGCCCCTGGCCTCTGCTTATGGAGACTTCTGGCCCAGAGCAGGTGCTCCTGTGGTTCAGATTGCAGCAGGTGTCTCCTCTCTGAAGGCAGCAGGAGTGTGTAGGGTCTCAGACCCTGGGCTAAGGACCCCTGAGTAGAGTGACCCAACATGTAAGCATCTTCTGAGGCCATTGAGGAGGCCCTGGCATTTGTCTCCAGCATCCACTGGCTCATCACTATGGTCTGGTGACCCACTGGCTCATCACTGTGGTCTGGTGACCCACTGTCTTATCATTGCACTCTGGTGCACTCACACCTCAGGGAGAGTGAGACTGTGTGCTGGGCTCGAGATCACTGAGGGGTCAGACAGAGGACAGGTCCCTGCTTTCTGCTCCCCACTCACTGCTTCCTTAGGCTGAGCAGAGGCTGCTGCATTCCTTCAGCTGCTTTTCTTCTGCTTGGCTCTTCCCTAACTTGACCCCCCCCACCCCGACACTAGGTAGGACAGCAGCTGTATGGCAGGGACAGGGGATGACATGGGCAGCAAGCAGGCTGAGGGCCTGTTAGTATGTCCCCTACTTGTGTCCTGGAGATTGCTCAGGCCCGGGGGTCTTTCCACTGCCCCCCCCAGATGCCCTCACCACCCCTCTTGGGGACTCCGGGAGCTTACCCTCTAGGTCTGTGGATTTCCTGGGTTTCCAGGTGGCCTGGGCTTGCTCTGGAGCCACAAGAGTCCTTCTAGAGCAGGTTTGCTGAAGGGGACATGGGGACTGTTCACCTCTGGTATAGTCATGTGGAGTGCTGAGAGCTTCAGGGCCAGCCCTTCCATGAAGTGGTCAGTCCCTGCATCTCAAAGCTGTTATTGTGTCACCTCCAGTGCCATGGGGTGCTGGGCATAATTCATTAGTGTGTCACTTCTCCACTAGGCTGTGCCCTTCTAGGTCCAGCAGCCTCAGCACAGAACAGTGACCTACAGGGCAGGGCATGGTGGTGGGGGTGGTGGGGGTGTTGTGGTTAGAGCCCTGGCCAGGAAGATGGATTAGCTCCCTCATCCCTCTCTACAATTGCAAATTAGAGGCCAGGCTGGGCAACTTAGCTAGACCCTGCTCCCAAATAAAAATTTAAAAAGTCTGAGGTATAGCTCAGTGGTAGATTGCTTACTTCGCAGGCATGAGGCCCTGGGTTCAATCTCTATTTCCACAGAAAGAAAAGAAAGAAGAAAGAAAGAAAGAAAGAAGAAAGAAAAGGAAACTGAGGAGGGAACATGTAGCCCATTTTAAGGGTTCAGATCTGTTCTGATTCCCAAACCAATGACATCACAGGAAAAGCAAGCCTCAGCTCAGTGCTTCTCATGGATAGAGATGCAAAAATCTGCAAGAGGTATTAGCAAGCTGATTCCAACAATACATACAATAGCTGCATCATGACCAGGAATGCAAGATTGATAAATATAAGAGAGTCAATCAGCATAATCACCATGTTAATAAAATAAAGGAGAAAGATGACCATCTTATCATATGCAGAAAGAGCATTTGCAAAAACCCATCACTGTTCTTTCATTTTTCCTCTTGAGATGGGGTCTCGCTGTGTCGCCCAGGCTTCTCTCAAAGCCCTGGTTCAAGCACTAATACTGCCTCAGCCTCCTGCTTAGCTGGGATTCTAGGTGCATGCCACCATAGCCAGCTAAAACCACCACTCTTTAGTGATTTTAAATTGCCTGGAGGCTAGGAATGAAAGAGGCCTCCCTCAGCGTGTACGCGGATGGTTCAGAAACCCTGGAGTGCACAGCACATTTGGGAGGGTGGGGGACTGCCATGAGGTCAGAAGCAAGGCAAGACTTCTGCCCTTACCACTGTCATTTAACCTCATGTGGTTAAATGACCCCAAGACCACACAGCAGGACAAAGAGAATGGAAGACATAACAATCAGCAAGGTGGAAAGTGGTCTAGATTTGCAGGTGACAAAATTATGTAGGTAGATAACACTATAAGCCCCACAAAATATCTACTAGAAAGAATAAGTGAATTTACCAACTTTGCCGGACCTGAGTTCAATACACAAAAACCATTTGCATTTCTGTATATTAGAAATTAGCTTAAGGAGATCAACTTCACTGGCAATAGTATAAAAAATGAAATGCTCTGGAATAAATTTAACAATTGTGCAAGGTGTGTATATTGAAAATAACTCATTACAAAGCAAAAATTAAAAATGACAAATTGAGCATAGACCATGTTCATTGCTTAGAATATTTAATGTTGATACAGTCCCTAATAGTCCTTCTTCAAACAATTAACAAGCTGGCTTTAAATTTATATGAAGGGCTGGTGGCATGGCTCAAGTGGTAGAGTGCCTGCCTAGCAAGCATGAGGTCAAGTTCAAATCCCAGTACTGCCATCTCCCCCCAAAATCATTATTCATTTGGACAACTAAATGTCCATGGGTGGGGGAATGGATAGACAGATTCAAATCTATCCTTACAATGAGATAGTGTTCTATGAGAAAATATTGATATGTATATCATGGATGAAACAAAAGCACCGTGTCTATTGAAAAATAGCCAAACATACAAGACTGCCTGATTCCATATTTAAGAGATTATAGAAGTGACAAAACTCAGGGAACAGAAGGGAGATAAGCGGTTCCCTGGGACCAAGGAACCAACTGCAAAGTGACATGAATAAGCTTTTACTTTCCTCATCTTGATTGTGGAGGAGGTTACATATGCTTGCACACAATTTACATACTTTTAAGACTGTACATAAAAATGATGCATTTTATTGGGTGTACTAATAATTCAATAGAAATAAAAAGTAGAAACAAGCCACATGCTTAAAACAGCCGTGCTCGCCTGACTCATGATGCTGTGCTTTGCCTCTGGACTGGCTGGGTGGCTGTCCTAGTCTAGGCTTGTGCCTGGGTGCACAGCTGGCTGTGGGTCTGTGGTGCTGCCTGGCTGGAATGGCTGTGAGCTGGAGGCCCCCAATAATCCAGGAAGAAAAGAAGAAAATTATTCTGAGGTCCTTCACTTCATTACATCTGCAAAGACCCTTGTTCCAGATAGGGTCACATTTACAGGTTCCAGAGAATAGGGCATGGCCGTATCATTTTTAGGACAGCGGTCTTTTTTAGGACCACTGTTCAGCCCATTACCACAGCCAAGTGCAGAATGGAGTGCATGCAAGCATTTGGGGCCTTTACTGAGCCTCTTATGTTACGAAGACTCTTCCAGATGACAGAAAATGTGAGACAGCTCAGCCCTCTGAGCTTTCCCATTTGGAAACCAGTCATGTAAGAGCAGCACAAGGAAAGAACACTGTAGACATCCCACTTTCCCACCCAGCAGCAGGCACATCAAGTGCAGAGCAGGAAGGAGTGTTGCTGGGTGTGTGCTTTTTTCTGCCCCAAGAGAATGGGCTCAGAACCCCCTCACTTACTCCAGCTCAGGGTTGTGGAGTGACTTTCAGGACTGGCCAAACTCGAGCAATCCTAGTCTTCTTTCCTGCTGTCTCTGGGGCTGTGCAGATGTTGCAGCATGTCTGTCCCCCACATCTACCTTGGGGGGAGCTTCTCCAGGTCTAGGGCTGCTGTGGCTGGAGGTAAAATGGCTAGTTCTGGGGTTAGCATACGAAGCATATGGACCCACAAGCAGAATCCATGGGGGCCAACCTAGAACTGCTCAGATTAAAATTATGCTTGCCTGGTCAAAGATGCCAACTCTTAGCTTACATTTCACCTGGTTCAATCACTCAGGCGGGGAGAGGGTGCTGTGTTTGAAACCCTCTCTCCCACCTGGGCTCCTAGTAATCAAATAGGGCTTATCTTGGGATTCGAGAATGAATTTGCAACAGAAAACCTACTAACATATGCATTGATCAGGATGGGCTCTGCTATGCTGTGCTGACAAAAAGTGCCAGGTTCTGGTGGCTCATAACAGCAGATGTTCATGACTGCTGCTAACCAGTCATACTGACTGGTCCAGCTTCCATGCTGGTCAGCTCTGCCACTGCTTAGGGAAGGAGAATGGGGGAAGGAGGCCCCAGGTGGACAGAATGTGGGGGTCAGAGAAGCCATTAGGTTTTCCAGCCACTGTCTGTCATTGCTCCTGCCACAACCCATGCCC